TCATGTCCAAAAATGTATCTTAGTACGACCCCCCTTCACCCAACAATGCATATTATTTTATTATTAAATCTTAAGAGTTGATTCAGCCCAGCAGCACACGGCCGCCCTCGTGGATCTGGTTTGCGTTCTGCCATTAAGTTTTATTTCTTGGTGTCCATTTGGACCCAAAGTTATCATTCCATGACCACGTGGAAAAACTTACCATCAAATTCAGCAAACATTTGTTCGTTATGCGACGATTAGCAAAAACTGTCTCAACTCAAGTTTTAATTAATGCATATTACGCACTTTGTCAAAGTGTGCTATCATATGCTCTACTTACCTGGGGTCATTCTACGCAGTTAAAATACGCGTTTAAGCTACAACGTCGAGCTGTTAGAATTTTAGACAAAATTGGATATCGTGATGATTGTCGTACAAGTTTTATAAAATTAAAGATACTCACGTTGCCATGTCTATTTGTGTTAACATGTGTTTGTCATGTCAAAGTTACATTGGATACATATTCTCTTCACTCGGATATACATAAATACAATACAAGAAACAAGGACTTAATACGGATACCTTATTGTCGATTAAGAAAAACTCAGAATGGACCCACCAACATGGCACTTAAAATATTCAACCATCTACCCAGCTGTTTAACCGCCTTAGAATTAAAACTATTTAAGTTAAAGATTAAAGCTTTCTTATTAAGTAAAGCGTTCTATTCTGTCGAAGAGTTTCTGCTTTGCGATATGAAAAACTTTTCCATGTAATTATTAAGCATGTATAATATTTTAGATTTTTCCATTGTTTTGACGAATGTAAGTTTCTTTTGTTAACTATGCATGAAATAAATATTATTATTATTATTATTATTATTCTCGAAACCATGTTATTAATATGTTCTCCAAGAAAGGGGAGATGCATGAGATAGCATCCACAGTTCTTCGGCCATGCTTAAAAAGGAAAAAAAAGCAATAACCAATGCTCATAATAATTTGCCTTCATAAGAGTCGGAAATAGGTATGTGTAGGTGGATATTCTTCCCTGTGCGGAGCAGTTGAAATAGGAAAATGTTTAAAACTCTCTTTCCGTGGCCTTAAATGCGAAATCTTTGTAAAAATGGTAGATATGGCTAAAAAGTTGTAGCTGAGCACATTGGTTCTATTTTGCTTTACGGCTTGATGAAACCAATGGTGGCAACTGTAAATTGGGCGCTACTCTTCTTATTGAAGATTACTTGTCGTGATGGCTGTATACAATAAAGTTGAAAAACTTATTAACGTCTTCATACGGATCGCAAAAACGACATTCATTGCCAGACCTTAAACTAGTGGCAAAATTACATAGTAACGGCTGTCTTTTAAATGGCAAAGCTCTTACCTGTAGCATATCCACAAATAACAGTTACCTTACTTTGTAAAATGAGCAATGTCATTTTAGTTATTTGGTTTCGCGAAATAGTCTTGTTGAATATTATTCGGCACCAATTATTGTTGGCTAAATGTTCTTCTGGTTTAGTTCAAATTTAACGCTTTCTGACAACTTCACTCATGGCAATCATTTAACAAATGTCATTTGCCAAAGTTGCCAAGCAACACACTTATATGTCAGTTTTAACTTCAAAATTTTCTCTGTTGTAATTTAACATTCGACAAAACATTTTCCGAATTACATATCTGTAATTCCAAAAGAGAAATAAAAAGTGTAAGAACTATGAGCGTTTCAGCAACAGAAAATGGCCGTACCTTGCTTGAAAAGCTATGAACTGCGAACACCAATTTGGACGTGATATTTCACTTTTCGAATTTTTGTACATTTCTCTGAAAGATCGACGTGATGAATGTCAGTATTTCGCCGACCATTTTACGTCTCCTTGGAAAATAAAGTGGTAACCATAGACAAACTTTGTTAGTTGCATAGGAAATTTGTGAAACTACGTAGTCGTCTGGGCGTTACTAACGTATCAAACAAGATTGTTTTGTTAACTTCAAAATTTTAGTTTGACCTTTCAGAGAATTTTATTCCGAAATTATGGCATGTAGAAGACGTAGACGTAGAGAGAAGGGCACAAACGTAATCTGCAAAAGACGAAAAAACTCCCGCTTTTCGAAAAATCCCTTTTTAAATTTCTTACAAGAGCTGCGTAAGAAATACCCCACGTGGCTTTCATGCAAGCTGACGCTCGAAGGAGCTCGCCGGTGGTGCAACATGAGTGAATTTCGCAGAAGAAAGTACCAGTGCAGAGCAGCACAGGCCGGAAGGGCTGCTAAGCCCTTTCGAACTAAGTGTAAACCTGGGCGAAGGAAGCTCAGATGTAAGCTGCAGAAAAGACGGCGCACGTGCAAACGTAAAGTAAAGAGGCGTACTTGTAAAAGGAAAAGAAGGAGTTGCAGACGACGTTGTTCGAGAAGGAAGAAGAGAGTGTGCAGAAGGAAAAGTAGTTGCCCCTCGAGTTGCCCTAAGGCTCAGACATCGGTCGTATCGCAAATAGCTGAAGCTAATAGCGACTCTATAACAGTCTAAAAATTTTACTTATGTGCTAATTATACCTGTATAGATGTTTTTTTTATATTATACAAAACCTTTACAGTTTTTATTTGGTATTTGAACACAGCAAAAATTGTAACATTGAACAACTTGACTCTAACATCAACAAGGATTGAAACATTTTGGTAGCGATAAACGACGGAATAATGAACAAAGGGGGAAGCATCGAGGATCCGGTAAGCGGACCTGGCAGAGACTCCTTAGGGCACTGCAACATGGGTCACTAAACCAGCTTCCAGGGGATTTGTTTTCTATGAACAGGTTTTGGAGTCCATGACAAAGGTAATACTTGCTGTTCCAGCGGGAAAGTTCTTTAGCACGTTACTTTGATGTTTCTTCTCCCTCTCCGGAGTTGTAAAAGTGTTTAGATCTACGCTGTTGACAGCGGTAAACCTTGAGCATTTGTAGAGGAGCGGCGGTTGATCTACTCTATGATGCAGCGGTAGTATATAAAAGTTGGAGCAGATTAGATTTTTACGCTGATGCACATCCTTTTGTACACCTCGGTACCTCGTTTCAAAGTGCTGTAGAAGTGTTGAGCTCTTTGTAGGCTGTTTACCTCCTTGGGAATGTGCAGACTTCAGCGCCGGTGTACCTATATTAAAAACTACTTTTGATGAGCGGTTGGTTACGTAGAGTCGGCGGTGGTTATGTGTCCATTTCGTAACCGATGTTAACGGAGGGCTGGTCGTTTCCCTGAATCTTCTTGTATGGTACTTGACATGTGCGTGTGCGGGTCTTGTTGCCGAATTTGAAATGATACCAGCACGGATAGTAAACTATTACCACAACGTTAATTACATGTTTTCTTATGTTTCGAATAGATAAGAAATGGTGTTTCTTACCTGGATGAAATTTTTTTATATGCGCTCTCAAGTTATAGCGTTCGCCAAATAATTTGTTGCAAAGTTTGCAAATATTAGTACTGTTCATTTTTAAATATAATAAAAACCCAAATCGTACAAAACACAAATACGGAAAACTATTAGGCTAGGGTTAAGGTAACTGTTGAAATTGATAAGCAAAATAATGTATGTACGCATGCGCGCAATGTGAAAGCCAAAGTGGAATCCTTGGCGCTCGCCGCCAGTCTAGTCAACCGCCAGTTCGTCAACCGCCAGTTCGAATTTCAATTTATAGGTTATGATTTTTTCCCGAGTACCTACATCGCGTGTATTTTATTGAGTTTCATCTTTCATATTTTGTTGATAATTGGAATTAAGTTTCTGTTTATTATGGATGCATCATCAGATTCTGATCAATATGAAGTTATGAATAGTAGTAGCAGCTCTAGCTCTACAGATTCAGATGAAGAATTACTTTTAGAGCTAAATCGTAGAGTCAGGCGCGAACGTACATTTCGAGAAAGACCAGATAATTTTACAAAGTGGTCTGACCAGGAATTTACGATGAGATTTCGTTTGCAAAAGGAATCTGTTCTTTTTTTATTAGAATTAATCGAGGGCCAGTTGGCAACTATAAGTAATAGGTAAGTGCAAACTTCAAATTAATCACTGTTTACAATATTTCTGTGTGTATTTCCAATAGGAATAAGGCGATTACACCTATGAACCAGCTGTTATTAACATTACGCCTGTATGCTACAGGGAATATGCTCATAGCTGTTGGAGATTTTAGTGGGGTCCACAAATCCACGGCTTGCCGGATTGTAAAAAAAGTTACAGCTGCTATTTGTACTTTATCTGAAAACTACATTCGTATGCCTAATACTGAAGAGGAAATAAGAAATCATCAATTGGCATTTTACAACATTGCCAGATTTCCTCGTACAATAGGAGCCATCGATTGCACCCATGTCCGCATACAATCCCCAGGTAATTAATAAATTATGCCAATTTATCTAATTCGTAACTTCAAATATATAAAATTTGTAGGAGGCCACAATGCAGAGTACTTTCGTAATCGAAAGGGATACTTTTCTTTAATTGTACAAGTTGTTGGGGATGCATCTCTTCGAGTGCTGGATATAGTAGTGAGATGGCCTGGATCTACACATGACCAAACCATATTCAACAACTCTAGGATTCATGCCCGCTTAGAGAATGGTGAATTCAATAACAGCATAATCTTAGGAGATTCTGGTTATGCCATACAGAAGTATTTAATAACACCATTACTGCATCCAAATAATGATGCTGAACAATTATTTAACGAGGCCCAGATCCGTACAAGAAATCCAATTGAAAGGCTATTTGGAGTGTTGAAACGTCGTTTTCCCATACTAAGCATAGGGATACGTATCAAGCTACAAACAGCACAACAAAGTATTATTGCATGTGCCACTTTACATAACCTAGCAAGAGCTAGAAATGACGGGGAACCATTGGTTGATCCTGATGTTATTGTACCAGTGATTGATGATCAACCACAGAACCATGTGGAAGCAGAAAACCGTAACTTTTATAGACAACCATTTATTAACTATTTTTCTACATTATAAAACTTAATATTACATTAAATTAAAGAGTAAAGTTTTTATACAATGCTATTTGTTTCTTTTAGCTTTTTAATTTGTAAGGATAGCAACTCATTTTGTAATCTTAAATTTTCCTTTTTTAATTTATGAGTGTCTAAAATCTCTTTGTTTAGTTCTGCCTTTTCTCTAATCTCTTGAGTTAATAAATCTTTTTTTAATTTATTCAACTCAATTTTGGAATTGGTTATTTCATTTAACACCTTAGATGATGTAAGTGCTGTAATTTTTATGTAGTCATTAATACTGCTAAATTATGTACATACTAACCATTCTTATTTGTTGTATCACCTTTTTTCTCTCTCAGCAATTTATGTTTTTTTGTCCGCAACATAGTTGGTGTGTAGGTACTCCAATCTGTGACATACAACATAATAAATGTTAATGTGTTAAGGTACACTTACCGTTTGCTGGTGTACTTGCCACACTTTCTTCTACACAAGGTTCTACATATACCACCTCTATGCCTTCAACATCTTGCATTTTATCATCAAGAGGTTGTGTGAAATGTTGGTCGTCATCACCTGCCTCTGCCACAGACTTAGATGTCTCTTCAAAGTTGCTTGTTTCAGAAGTACTTAAACTACCTATAAGCACGTCACATTAATACTAAACAAGTGTAACTGTTATGCTTACAAAAATCGCTATCACCAACAGGTGGTTCAATGCCTTCCATAGAAAGGGTTGTAATAGCCCGTATTTTTTCAAAAATATGTTTTAAAATATCACTGATGACATTTTCAATAACACCCCCACCTGTTCTATAAATATCTTGCCTCTGCTTTGCAAAGTATCGCCTTGCATCCTTTTTCAAATTGTCGTACTTGGTACGTAGTTGCTCAGGTGTCTTCTTCTCCATGACGCTTGCATGTTTTATACAACGCCTGCGTTTTCCAACCGAAGGTCGAATTGAACCGTCGGTTGTTCAACCTTCGGTTGTAGTAAAGTTTTATACAACCGGCCCTAAAAGTAGCATTAACACGCAAGTCTTTTCAAGTAACAATCAACCAGTTGAAGAATGAGTCTTGACGGTGAATCTTTTATTTTTACCACCCGCCCATTTTTTTTACAGAAATACATATATTCAAGCGCCTGGAATCCGCATCAAACAAAATCCCGGTGATGTCGGTCTGTCTGTCTATTCTCTAATTTTCGGCTAAACGACTAAACCTGATTGGAATCAAATTTGGTACACATACTCGTACTCTTATAGACATAACAGGAAGAGCTGAAAAGCTTTTGGACAGAAAGCGCATGCGCAGGTGTGCTGGCCATAGCAAATTTGGTAATTTGGCTCAAGCTTTCACTAGATTAGAACTAGATTCAAACCCTGCTCTATTTTTAATACCATGAGTGAAAAAAGCGCATTTCCACTTGCATTCATTTCCCATTTGTAAGGTGTAACTTCTGTTAAAACCGTAAAAATCGGGCCACAATTAATAAAGTAAGCGTTGCATATGTGCAATCCATTTTTGACGTGCTACTTCAGTTTATAAGAAGAACCCTACTCTAAAATTTTAGAAGAATTAGTCTACAAACAACGAATGTGGGTCTGGGCATGCGCAATAGGTAATTATTTTGATTTGCCTTCATTCGAAGTGCCTACATACATTTCATTAAAAAAAATTGGAAATTTTTAATTCGGCATTAGTTTTACCTTTACTGGAGGCGCCTACATACAAATATCTTAACGAATAAGAAAATTGGATTACGCAAATACAAAAGTTATCATGCACAACTGCACCTGGATAGAGACAGACGGGTGGACAGACAGACGGAGATAGACGGGCAGACGGCGATACAAAATTATCAAAAGTGTAAAATTATGGAACACAACAACAAAGTAGCCACAATAGTGCATTTTTGCAAATTTATTTGTAAAAAGTAGCTTTTAATCTCACTTTGGCTGGCTGGCTGGCTGGCAGCAAATGTGGATGCGTAGAAGAACTCTTGTAGAAAGGCAACGGCTGTACGTGTATCTACAAGGCCGTGTAATTTGTCAACCTTAGGGACAGGGCTACATGATGTGAGGTTGGCGACATCTGGGCGTCATTCTAGAGCGTAGTTTACTGACGTGAAGGTTTTTCAGTTTTTTCCGATCTTCTACTACAGTTTTGGTCCGATCCTTTTCAAATTGGTGTCGTTGGAAAGATGTTGTAAACGCGCACAACTCCTGCGTGGCGGAGTTTTGTTTTTTGTCCTAGGGTGCCTTTTACCTTCCGTTGCGAATTTTATCACGCGGTTTAACGTTTCCTAAATCGCTGTATCTCTTTCTCGTGTCGCCAATAGAAGCTCGAGCAATGAGAAGTGCCCCAAAAATTAAGTACTATCTTGTGGAAAGTTTTTAGCGAAATCCACCAAAATGTGGGTGTAATATAAGTATGCACCGAAAAAGGAAATGTGGTAGCCTCCGACAAGATCTAACTGATGGTGAAGTCAAATCTTCAAATGCGAAATGCGGGTGAACGGTAAGTCGGAACTGGATACCGTCAAAGGGAATGTGATAGCCCCTGACACGGTCTTACCACAGATTTAACTGTGATCTTACTGATGCTGGAGTCAAATCTTCAAACGCGAATTGCGGGTGCACGCGGAAAGTGGGAAGCGGGTACCGAGTGAATGTAGTAGCCTTCGACAAGATCTTTTATTGATGGTTCAGTCAAAAGTGGCTAATAGAATACTGATGATCTGCCGCACAAAAATGCGCTGAAGTCCCTTCGATCTCACACGAGGACATTTTTATTTTTGTGGAAATTCGCTAAAAATGAGCCGAGTAAATAGTTAAGTGCTATCTATCTATGCTGCAAGTGTAAATCGCTATCGGCTTATTAGCGACAATGAAAAATAATTAATTCAGTTGAATAAATTTAATCGAATTTCGGAATGATGGTAGTTTCTAAAATGCCAACTAGGTTCCATATAAGGGTTAAAAATTATAATACATTTACTGCGAGTGTGCTGTGTGTGCATGTATAAAATCTGATTAATATTTTAATGCGAATGTAATTGGTAACCATTTCACAAAAATACATGGTTCAGAAAAATTAATCTGTCTCATTTGAAAAATATCATACTTCGTTCGTCAATGTACTTCATCTTTGAATAATTTTATATTCAAAGGCTTCATGCATCATTTTCCTGATCTTTATTATTAAAACTCCTCGTCGCCAATGAAATATCCACCACCAAAAAGCAAACTCTCTCTTCATTAACATTTACGGCACAAACGAGCACAAACGAAGCACAAACGATTGCAATTAAACCCGTCGTTTGTGCTTTAATTTCGTGCGTGAAGTCAGCTGACCATTTTGAATTGCCCATAATTTTTGTATGGTTGGTTTTGCTGACTTTTGTTGTACGCACAAACGAGCACAAACGAAGCACAAACGATTAAACCTAAATCCGTTGTTTGTGCTTTTCATGCCCAGCTCACTTCACGGACCCCCAATTTATTACACTATATTATTGTATTGTGATGTACCTATACGCTATAAGGTCGATTGCGATTGCGATGCACCATCCCAATAATAGTGTAATCTGATTTGTGCACACTATTCTTCTTACTACTTCCACTGAGGATAATAGTGTATTTCATAAAACATGTCACAAACAATAATGAAGAATCGAATTTTACTCCGTAAATACAACCGTTGAGTGAAGGATTAGGATTTAATTACTCAATGATACAACGTAAAAATCAGCACAAATCGAGCGCAATTCCCTCGCAATTCCCCATATAAGATTGAACTCCACTGAAAATGTTACACAAATCGACCATACATCCACGTATTAAAGACTGTTCGGTTCTAGTATTTAGGGGAACAATTTAACATCTACTTACATCTAATTAACCTACATCATTCATATTATATTTATGAGTATGAATAACGACAACCGTACAAATAAATTGTACGGTTTTCTTCCGTTGTGAGAATTGTTTTCACGGTGTTTTGCTGACTAGTTTTCGTTAAACCATTGAATAAAAATAGTGTTTTATTCAATGGTTGAACTCAATCTGCGGCATTCCATTGAAGGTCCGTCTCAGGTCGATCCATTTTCGGCACATTAGTGAAAAATATTTTATTTGTTACTCAGTTGTAAACGTTGATTAACAAGACAAAACGCAAACGGGTAAACGTCAAGTTTAAACGCTACTGACTTGTAAAACTGACAGCTGACCTGTAAAACTGACAGCTGACCTGTAAAAATTTTACAAGTTAGTAATCTAGTAATTTCATTGGCCAGAATTAATGCGAAGTCTCTGTTACATGGATAACATGATATTTTAGACATTTTTTCAAGATCAATTTAAGAACTAATTATTTACGTTTACTATTGTTTACAAATGAGTAACAAATAAAATATTGTACATTATACGCCAGGTAATAGTTTTTACTGGCTCTAGGAGATGACAGGCTCTCCTGACGGCTAGCCAGTCAACTTCTCCTATCGCCAGTAAAAACTCACTTACCTGGCTAATAATGTAAAATATTTTATGTAATCAACACCCCGTGTAAAATGTTTAAGACAGAGCTTCATGTATATGGCGGTAAAATAGAATATGCCTTAATTTAGACCCATTAAATCCCTAACATGTTTACCGTTTTTAGTAGGTACTTACTCAATTCTGCGCTTTACCAAACGGGTAGTAAAAGCTTATTTAGGTAGGTATATAACACTTGCTCACAATTTACGTGTTAGGGTAGGCGTTTTATTTATCCGTTTTATATGTTGTGTAGGCTGTAAATAACTGATACGGCTTGGGTATTAAATACAGTTTTATTAGAAAAACGCCAGTAGGGATCAGTAAGGGTGCGTGAGTGCGGTTATTTTTTGTGATCTCACAACCTACCTACGCTTTTAACACTATTTTGACTATTTAATTTCTTTTGACTATACTGGCTATACTGCCTAAATATAAACTAGACACATTTCAAAGGGAACAAATTACTTCGAATCTACCTGCATGTTTGGACCAATACCCTAAATCTATTTGGCTACGTTTGACTTATTATGTTCGATGTTGTTTTGTATCTGCTTCATTGTATTAGAGTTTCCATGAGCTTTCTAAATACTACACAGCGATAGGATATAAATTGACGTTACGAGCTATACTGATGGAAATCCATAAACTAGATTGAATTATCGATTCTATTTCCTACATACGAAAGCTACTTCACGACATAAAATGCCAAATAATGAAAATGGTGTTTAGTTTATTCGAAAGACAGGTACGTAGTTATACATTACTGACCATAAATACTTCATTAAGTTCTGGATAAAATTCATTGGTAGATCAAATAAACCCCTAAAGAGCATCTAAAAAAGCGGCAGAGCACCTCGGTGCGACCCTACGGGGCCATTGGATTTGACCCATATTCAATAGGCTTGTTACATGTGGTACCTATATTATATGTTAACTGTGCAAAGTTTGAACCGAATAGGTTCAAGCGTTTGACAGTTATCGTGCTCACGGACAGACGGACACCATCGACTTTTCTATAAAGCTTGCATCGTTTGCTCTGCCGCTTAATAATCCCGAAACCCATGACATTATTTCCATGACGCTAATAAACCAAACGTCAAAATAAATTACGTAAGTTGCTTTACTTGCTATTAATTCTATTCGATCTTTTGTGCTACAAAATAATTCGTTATAAGTGACCAAACTAAATGAAGTGGTGGAAGTCCGGTTAATACGAAAAAATTTCGCGACATTTCACTGGTCGAAGTTTGACAAATGTCATTGAATAATCGCATTGAATAATCGCTGAAATTACCACACTTGCAATTATCACTTAGAATTGCACAAGAAGTTTGTATTTTACCGAGTAAATTTGGGTTGTTAAGGTAATGAAAATCTG